TCTCAGTCGGCCTTGTCGCTCTGAAATCCACCCCCTCCTCTGCGCCCCTTACCCATTGCCCACCTCCACCTCTCCCCCTTAGCTTCCCCCCCCGCCCCCCTTCAGGAGGAGAGCATGAGGAAGACGTCAGGATATTGAAGATGTTCTGCATCCAGGCTCTGAGCCAAAAGAGACAGCACATACGGCAGACATATGGCCACGTTTTGAAAATCGTATCTTTATTTAACCAGGCCCATCAATCACTGTGAAATGTCCTTTTCTGTGAGTTAAAGACATGTTGGAAGACAGATGTTGGAGGACAATGTTTATTTTCTGTAAACATAAAGGTTATCTTTAGTCTCCACTTGAGCAATTTGAACTAAAAGAAAATGGACCATATTGGTGTAAATGCTATGTTCAAACACATCACGGCTTGTGGATGTCGCATTACACCAAATGAGGCAAAATGAAGCAAAGCACGGCAGACGCTCAAGGTCCCTCGGTTGGTGGAGACTAATGGAAAGAGAGGCGAGCCGGGGAGCGTGTTCCTGAAAAACATCAGGCGCTATTCTCAATGCAAATCGACTTGTTTTTGGTTGCTCACTTATGTTGGATTAGGACAATCTTCTCGTTTTTTTTTGTTTTTTTTTCAGAACAAGCAAAACTGTTTTGGAAACAAGGCGGAAAAAAAACACCAGAATTTTCCACTTTTACAAAGCGGCCAAGTGTCATGATCTGGTCTGTTTTAGCTTTGTATTTCAAAGTGTGTCTCTTCTTGTTTTAGTTTCTAGTGTTGCTTGTGTTTCTTTAAATGTTTCCTGTTTTACTTTGTTGTCCGAGTGTATCTCTCTTTTCTCGTCAGTGTGGTTCAATTCTTGAGTTTTCTTCGTCTTCGGGTGTTTCTGTGTTTCCCTCCTGTCTTGATTTCCCTGATTGTCCTCACCTGTGTCTTGTTAATCTCACCTGTGTTTGATTACCTCTGTCTAAGTAGTGTCAGTGTTCCTCCCTGTGTTGTCAGATGTTATATGTCGGTCAGTAAGTTTTCCTTGTGGCTCCCTGTTTTTGATCTTTGTGACTTTAACATTTTGAAAGTAAGTTTTTGTTGGCCTTCTGCCTTTTAAAAAAAAAAATATATATATATATTTCTAGTTTATTCTGCGTTTGGGTCCACCTCCTTTGTTTTTCTACAACCGTGACACCAAGCTTAAACGTTAGCCCACAATAACCTGATTTGAACTTTGCTTGCATTTTTTTTTTGGGATGTCAGTTTTTCTAGTTCTATTTTCATTGTAACTACTTTCAACAAATATCCAGAGGCTTTCACTCCCTTTTGTGCTGAGCAGAGGTTCCTACAGCCAAGGTTTGGGAAAATAGTGAAGAAACAAGAGAGTGAATATACAATAAAGTGCCGTTATGAAGTTTTAACCCCGGCAATGTCAGCTAACCATATTAGCATTCCCACATGGGGGGGAAAGGCTGTGAGTTGGAATAGAAATGGGCTGGTTCAGCGAGCAGGGGGAGTAGAGGTCCCATTCGTCTTGTCCTGTTTAAATACACTGGTTAACTCCTGCCAACAGGGAAGCCATTCAGCAAAAGGCCAAGGGCATCTGTCATGTGTTCGGCACATTGATATTGTCCCCTTCCATCGCTCTCTCCCCCCCCCCACTCTCTTCCCCTCTTTTTTCTCTTTGGTTTCCCTTCTCTTTGTTTATCTCCGCTTCTCACTTGCTCTTCCTCTTCTCCCCCCCCTCCCCGTCCCTCTCCCCTCCTCTTCTGATGAAAGGAGTGAATATGCAGGGAACTGACATGATTAGCAGCCTCATATCCCCATGATGGATGGTGCCTGCTCCATTATTAATATAGTAAAAGCACCAACTGCCAGGTAAGAGCAATGTCAGCATCCACAATATAACGCTGTGTGCCCACGGATAATGGCGAGCACTTATTTTTATCTATGATATGCATGGGCTTCAGGCCGAGGAAGGCGAGCAGAAGGAGGAGGAGTTGGTGGCGTAAACGTCTAAGAACGAGCACTTAGATGAGGCACTCAATTCTTCCAACTTCTGTTGATAGCGCCGCGATAGAACACAGCGGAACGAACGTTTGGGCAACTTTATCATTCTTGAAATATGGCCGCTCGTTTCTTTCAGTGCAATTGAATCAAGTTTGAAACAATTGGCATCTTTAAGACTGGCAGATAAAATAAAAAGGAAGCAAAATGTAAAAAAAAAAAAAGAAGAAGCAGCCTAGGTAGGAACATATAAAGTTCAGAGTGGCCTTAATAATGGTGGATGTTTATAGGCGTTCTTTACGGTTGATATTTTATCCCTTGTGCAATATTTTTTCAATTAGATTGTGTGTGATTTATCCATTTGCTGTGACACTTGTATGCTGCCACAAACATTTATTGTAAGTTTTATCATTGGGCTGTGTGGTTATATGTTTCTGTATCCATGAAGCGGATCATAAAGATTTGCATTTAGACAATTGAGAAGCTCAGAACTCAAAATATTAGATGTTGCATTCAATTTTTCTGTGCGGCAGAGTGTTGTGATTGTGAAGCACTAATACATCATGTAGACATGTTCTTCATACTCTACTATTGACAGATTATAAGACCTGTCACGTTGCTCATCGCCAGCTGACAACACCAATGCACGTCTTCGGCGTTGTCAGCCCGCTGTCACTTAAACAGCAACATGTCCTCGTGGTAGAATGACAGAATAGGTCGATTGACGATGACCCCCGCAAGAGTAAAGAGTACCAGCGACGAGTGGACAGAATAAACATAAATTGCAGATGAGTCACCGTTTTGGTTGGATTTTGGCGCCAGAATTTGTTGTAATGTTAAGAAACATTGTTGTTTAAGTGTTTGTAAATGGTATTACAAAGCTCAGATTGTAGCCTTTTCCCACTTTTTGTTGCCTTTTGGGCTCATCCAAAGAGCCACATAAACAATGCATAAAAACAACAGGATTTATCTGATGAATATTTTACACTTCAGTCAGCCATGTGGAAATCAGCTAAACAGGACACAGCAGTGCCAGACTGTTGTTTTCTCCCTGTTTACTTGTCATTTGATCAACCTCTTCCATGCACATGACAGATATCTGTGTGTCCTCTGTCATGTTTTTTTTTTTTTTTTTTTGTCTGTCATGTTTTTCTGTGTAGAAAGCAACAAAGATGGAGGAAGAGAGCGTGGTCGAGGATTATGGGGAAGCTGTGCGGTATGGATGCAGAGTGGCAGACACAGGTAAGAAGGCAGATGTAAAGAGCGAGGAGCAGAAGGGAATAAAAGGGGAAAAGGGAGCAAAGCAAAGAGGCAGGCAAATGTAAAGAGAGACAGAGTGAGTTGTGTCAAATGGATAAATGTCAGCGGGAGCTTCATCGTCCTCCTGAGCCGAACTCTCCCTCCCAAAATGCCATGTGTAAATCGCAGAGCCGGGGCCCTCGGCCAGCCTTTCCCCCCCCAGCACTGTAATGAGATTACAGACCTCTGCAACACTGTGTGTGTTGTGTGTGTGTGTGTGTGTGTGTGTGTGTGTGGAGAAGGAGAATACTGTTGAGCCTGCGTGGAAGTGTACAATTTTGATGGTTTACACATGGGACAGGCGGATACATGGCATTACTCACACCAGCCAGCAAGCCGTGTTGAGGAAGATTTTGCGACTTCTTCCCAGCACATGTGTCGCAATTTTCTTTAACCTGCCTTTACTTACAGCGCAAAAATAAAGTGTAGCAGCTGATATTTTTTTTTTTTTTTTTTTTTTTAAATCAATGTGGAAGAACACAACTGGGCATCTTGTTGCCTGTTAGGAAAGAACATTTTGTGAAACAGTGGGCAATTTGTAAAGAGTTCAGAAATTAAAAGCTGACATTAGATCACTGCACTGTTTCCTAACTCCTTCCAATCACATAAAGAAGTGCAATAAACCAATATGTTGCACTTGTCCTTGTGACCCTTTTTACTTAAAGGACAAAAAGAAGTCAGAGTAGTTCACTAAAAACAGTCTCCAATTGTCTTTTAAGGCGATCATTATACTTCACTTTTTAATCTAAAGGAAAAAGTCAGGAGGATTTTCAAACTAAAGCGCCGGTATTGCAGTAAAAGAAACATTAAAAAAATCAATGCACGTTCCTCCTTTCATTAATGAACATCAATTAAAAACATATTTGTGATTCTTTGGGTAGACCATGTAGTTTAACGTTATCACCACTGAGCAGCTTGAAAGGAAATCTACATTAAGTTGATGTTTTCCATTCAATAATAAACACATAAAGCGCTTTTTAAGATGCATATAGGAAGTTTATTTGATCTATATGGGACACCAGATGAGCAGCTTATTGCTTTTTTTAAGACTTCAGGTTTATTTAACTGTCAGAAAAGTATTATAGAAATCTGAATTAAACTGGGAGGATGACATGAAAATAATTACAGCAAACTCACTAAATCTTTATTAAAGAGAGGATACACACTTTGTTTTATGATGCAGTCTCCAGGGGAAACCTGCACAAGAATTGCAATGATTTTAAAGATGATACATTTGCCTTAAAGTCATTATAAAAGCAAACTCTGCATCCCTTTCTGAGATATATGTTTCCTATATGCTAATGCCTCCCACTGCATTGCATTCTAATTAAATATTTACACTGTGGAACAACAGAGCAGCCTATTAGTACAGTTTCCAGCTCCTGCTTGTGAGCACATGATGTTTACACCACGGCTTCTCCTCTCAGACTACCCTTTTAGACCTTCTTCCAAATCTAATATACCCATCCATAAATAGCTCACCTATCGAGCCCATATTCGGCGTGAGTGACGTCGCGGAGGAGCCAGTAACGTGCGCGTAATCTTCTTAACCCCGCCCCTTCATGCTCCGGCGCCTCTCAAGTCGCCCCTCAACCGCCCATTCGCCTTAAATGGACAAACTGGGGATTTGATTGACAAACAAAACGACGCCCCTTCGTTTACCAAGCCCCTCCCCTTCCTTGGCTCCCTATCAGTGTCTAGTTTGGCAACACGGATACGCATGGAGCCTCCATCACCTCCAGTCTCTTTTACGCACCGAGCCCGATGATGCGCGCAGGTACTGGCACCTGAACGCCACATTTTCAGCCGCTACACTCCAGATTTGACTTCCTCTTACGGACTAATATGAAAGAAGTGGATGTAGAGGTGTGACACAGCCACGAAAGGAGGCATTTTTTTTTTCCTCTCTCTTGTATGTGTGTGTGTGTGTGTGTGTGTGTGTGGATCGTTCTTGTGTTTTCCCAGCCCCGAGCGTCAGCATGGATGTCTTGGCGAACCACAGTATCTTTCAGGAACTTCAGCTGGTGCACGACACCGGCTACTTCTCCGCCATGCCTTCGCTGGAGGAAAACTGGCAGCAGGTACGTGTCAACTTACAAATTCGAGCCGGTTTTTTTTATTTATTTATTTATTTTTTACGCAAGTCCCGCACGCTGAAGGATTCACGAGATGGAGATGGAGATGCAGGCGTCAACTTTTGCCCCCCCCCCCCACCACCCCTTCTTGAACCGCGTGGGAAGTGTGTAGTTCAGAGGGAAATTAGGGGATGAAATACTTCCTATCACTCGTATATCTGACAATTTCCAGATTGACAGGGGTGGCAAAGATGCGAACGCATGTGGGCGCGTAATAAAGCTGTCACATGCGATTTGGGAAGATGAAGACTCGAATCTCATCATAGGGACTGAATTGGTCGTGAATTATACATCTGCATCTCAGTTGTGAGCCCCCCCCCTCCTCCTCCCTCCCTCTTATTCATAATAGATACCCTAACATGTCTGGCTTTTGTAGCAGCTTTAAATGGTGAAAAATGTGCAAAGCCAGTGCAGGGAATGTCATCTGCATATCCGCTTTTACATGTTTCACCCTCTCCCTCCTTCACACACACTTCCTGCATCCAAGTTCAGTGGATGAATATGGAGAGAGGAGCACGGGGATCCACGCGGCCACATGGTGGTAGATGTGTGTGTGTGTGTGTGTGTGTGTGTGTGTGTGTGGGAGTGGGGGGATGCAGGGTACCGGCACTTTACTTTACACAGCCATTACTGCTCTTATATTCCTCACACACAAGATCACACTTCTCCTTTTCCCTTTATATCAGCAGAAATGTTGCTGATGTAGAAACCCTCTCCTGGTGCAAAGATGCCTTGAAACCTTCACTTTTCTTCACGTTCTCTGCGTTAAATGTTCCAAATGTTCCTCAGGAAACTGAACTCTTAATGCAAGTCAGCTCAATTTGACAAGAAATCCTCCCCGATTAGATCTTTATTGAGGCTCTTTTGTCTCTTAAACATTGTGTCACTCTCCTTTTCTCATATCGGCGTCTTGTAGCTACACCTGTGTTGGTGTCAAAAGGATGCTGCTACATGTGGAAATGAGGTCTTCTTAAAAGATTTGGTGCAAGATTTCTCAAAAATCAAAGCAGGTTTCTCGGCCTTATCTTCCAATTGTTCCTGCAGAATCTGACTTCTGTGGCACCTATCATGTATGTAGCAACCGTCTTTTATGTAACAGCCCCCCCCCCCCCACCTCCATTCTCCATATCTCAGCTTAATTAAGGGCCATTCAGCCCACCTTCGTTGCTCGTCTTATATTCCTCACACACTTTATCTCTTTTCTTTTCACATTAGCTAACACAGCACAGTGGAATGTGTCATTATACCTGTCATGGCTGTCAAGTAATTGTGTTTTTGAACATTTTTTTTCTCTCGTGAATTTGATGGAAATCTGCAGATTTGTCAAGATCTCTCAGCTTGTGTTCCACCAGGAGCCAGTATTTAGTTGCATGTGGAATCGTTTTTTTTTTTTCCAACACATGCAGAGGTTTCAACATTTTCTGCCTTCAATCAGCCTATTTCATGAAGTTTATCAACCTTATCTTCCAATTTTACCTCAAATTCCTGAATTGAATCACTCTCTTTCTGCAACCTTTAACTTATTTCTCGTACCTCTCCCACCTGCGTTGCTGCTGCTGCTGCTGCTGCTGCTGCTGCTGCTGCTGCTGCTGCTGCTGCAGGTCATGATGCTTTCCATGCTGCACTTGACTGACCGGGGCGAAAAAAAAATCATTGCATGGAAATTTGATGCTGGTATTGTTCATGCAATAGGAGCTTTTTCCCCACTTCTGTGCTACATGCGTAAACGAGAGAAGAAGAAGAAGGAGGGGGGGTGACAGGGGGAAAGAGGAGAGAGAGAGAGAGAGAGAGAGAAACCGGTGCGTGACCGCGGATCCATTCGTTGTGGCCAAGCAGCCTAATTGGCATCCTACTGTTAGCCACCGACGCATCTTTTCATAACAAGTCTCCTAACTCCCTCCCTTGCCTTTCGCTGTCAGTGGATTTTTAAATTGCACTGGGCCTACGTGCACCATATGCAGTGCTTGTCTCTCCGTATTTCTCACCCACAGCCGGCATATCAAAATCAATACCTAATGCAAATGGAAGCGAGAGAGAGAGAGAGAGAGAGAGAGAGAGAGAGAAGAGCTGCTGCATGTGCAGGCAGAAAGCTGGGAAAGCTCTTATCTTTGTGTGTGTGTGTGTGTGTGTGCATGTTTATGTGAGTGTGTGTGGAGGCTGGAAATGTCATGTTTTTCTTTTTTTTTTTTTTGACGGTCATGTCTGCAGCTTTTTCTGCCACAGACAACGTCCATTTTGGAATAACAGAAATCATCATGAAGTTTAACCGTCTTGTAAATGCAGAGGACCGTTTTGAGTCCTCACCCAGTGCTTCTTTTGCATCTCATCAGGGTGCTTTTATCTAGTGGGAGAAAATGCAATTCGCGCCTGTATTGAGGGGACAATCCACTCCTCTTGAACTGGACTTCTGTGTGGGATATGTTGACTTTCTTGAAAAATTGAATGTCAGTGTTCTCTCCTGAAAGCATCTGTGATAAATCTAGATATCCAGAGATGTAAGCTAAAGCACTACTTGCACCTTTAGCCACTTTTTCTGCTTGAAAGGTACGTTTAACCCCAACCCCATCCTTCTTCAAAACGAGACAATAACAAGAGCAATCCCTGGAGAGAGAGTTTTTAAAATCACTATTTCAAAATGTAAAGGCTTCCACTTGAATCATTTGAAGTCCTCTGTCCCACAACGTGCCATTGGAGTAAACATCAAACAAGTTTTATTGGAAAACAACCCACATTTGGAATAAGAAGATTGCCTTGTGTCAATGTGAGCGCGAGGATTATAACTTGCCCCACACTCTGAAATACCCCCCTTGTCGCCTCCCAGGCCGCAGCACAGCAGAGATGTTCTTGGCAAAGCGATCCTCGTGTTCATTGTAGCGACATGAAGACGCCACCGAGCCCTCCTGAATACATGAATTATGAGTTGTGGCTTCTCCTTAAAAGCTCTGCCTCCGGCCCGAGAGCCACTACCCAGCCCCCCGCTTCTGTATTCCGGGCACAATTTAGAATCTGATGCTTTTATGGTGGTCTGATGGCGAGATAGGAGGCCGTTGTAGCCGGGCCCCCCTAAATGGCTCCCTGAGATGTGATGGCAAGAATGATGACTGTGTCCCCTGTTGGTGTCTGTGAGGCATGATTCAGACGCTTATAGGGGGATGGGGAGTAGAAAAAGGGGGGGAACGTGTGGACATTTGTGGCTGCTGTTTGTTCCATTATTGAGCTAAATTGTGCCAAACTGAACGGCGCTGTCTCGCGTCCAAATCCCTGTACAGTTGGTTGTTCAGCGTCGGAATAAACAGCGTGGGCTGAGCAGGATTTGGAACAAGCGGGGCCGGTCATAACTTGCTCATTATATGTGGTTGTACACGTGTTACTTTGCATCTTAATACCAACAGAAATGGTTTGTTTTCTTGGCTGCTGCTTGGGCTCTTTTGTAAGCTGGCATTTACCGCGGTTAAACCTCAGTGTGCTTCGTTGCCAAATTTTAAATCAGCAAATTCCGAGCTGGAATATTAAAGACAAAACATCTGGATTGGATTCCAACCTGATATGAGAGACATTTCAAACGTTTGTGACGTGCCCTTATCCAAAACACTTGACCCTGATGGGGAGGATGTAACAGGACACCGCAAATGGCTGTCTGTCATTGACCCCAGGACACACTCCATACCCTCCAGCACATATATTATCCCGCAGGGGTTCAACACACACACACACACACACACACACACACACACATGTACACACATGTAGACTGAGTGCTGATGCCTAGCCAAGCGTAATGTCTGTATGTTGCTGCACGGTGCATTAAGGGGTTTCTATATGTGGATGTGGAGCGATTGCACACGGCTGTGGTGTTTCTAAATGTGGAAGCATAGCAGCAGGGCGCTCCGGCGCGACCTCCATATGCAATCCGGCGTGCTCAGATGCAGCCACTTACATCCACTTCTTGCCCGCCACTCGATAACACGCACATTTCCCAGGCAGCAGCAGCAGCAGCAGCAGCAGCTCCGTCTGAGCGACAGGGGGGGTGGTGGTGGGCGGCTGACGAGCGTCGAGGTGGAGGAAGTTGCAGAGCACGCACATTCTCCCCGCTGCAGGGTTTCGCATTTCACAGTCCGGTGGGCTTGAACCCCCCCCCAGGAGCGACGTCCACACGCAGATAGACAGCCAGGGAAGTCGGCCATGATGTCCTGAGTTACAGAAGGAATTGCACTTGTTTCGAGGCCTCCAAACGGGAAAAGTTGCACCGTACTCAGCAGTGAGAACTCTAATTAGGATTGGAGAGAGAGAGAAACGGCAATGTGACCCTCGTTTTGAGAAATCACGACGAGGGAAAGTTGGTGTAAGGAAGGCCGGAGAATCTGCTGAAAACCGAATATCTATATGCATCCATATGTCTGCGTACATGCACGCCGGCGCACTGTGTCTCCGTTTGTTATGTAATCCTCAGTAGGCCACAGCTGCTTTCTCACACACAGCAAGCAATCTGGGGATCGCAGCCAAGCGGCCCCCTCCTTCCTGTCTCCGTCTTCCTCCATCCCTTGTTCCTCCACTCTCTCTCCGTCTCTTTTTCCCTCTTATAGAATTAGCATCGTATGGATTTTTGATCTCTGCAGGGCTGTTGTGTAAGCTCTGGACTTGTGCGTTCTCCCCTCGCTTGCTCAGTTGTGGTGTCGCTGCCAGGTAACAGCTCGCCCCCCAAAGTCACTTCTTCTTTGCTTTGCAGAGCACCAGTGAGGCCGACGTTACAAGCATCTCCTAAAATGAGAATCTAAAATAAACCAAACCGCTCTCTGTGACCTTTTACTTCCCCGCGATTCGATGTAATTTTATGCAAATTAAAATTAAATCAATCCTGTAACGGGCACAGTTCAGTATTCTGCAAGCAGGAGGAGGAAGGACAAAGTGGGACTTAATCTTATTTGTCTCCAAAGAGCTCCTGGTGG